CCCCGCTTTCATCTCTGAGACAGATCCCATTAGTATCTCAAACTGCCTGCTAACTCTTTATGAATTTGCATTTAAATGGGAAATAACCCTAGCATAAGTGGCTTACTACCCAAGCCCTGACATTCTGAGCTCTCTGTTCCCATGCTGCTGTATACAGACTCTTTAAGGGAAATGGAAACTGCTTTGTTGTAGTTAATACCTCCTTCAGGGAGGCCACTGCTTGGCCTTTACAGGCTATCTGCCCCCCGCACCGCCCCAGTGATATAAGGTCAGTACCATTTCAAGCAAGAGATACAGCTCCTAGAACAGCAGGCTCAGCATGGGAGGTGGTCTGGGCTCCCCTAATGAACTTCTGTGTGTATATAAGCCATAACAGACATAAAATGTTTTATGTAGTTCAAGGCCCACTGACTTGGATTAATAAAGGAAATGATGCTTTATACCTTCCAGATTATTCCCAATTGGCATATCACTGTGAAAAAAAAAGCAACTCAAGTATTACAGTGGCTTGGGGAACTGTATTATGTTTTTACATCTTTCCTGGAGATAAATGAAATGTCACTACCATTGAGAATTTAGCTAGAGCAAACTCATATTCCCAGCACACAAAGGCAAAACAACCCTAAAGGTTTGCTTCCTGCTAATGCTCTCACTAACTGCACATAAAGAGAGAGAGAGAGAGAGAGAGAGAGAGAGAGAGAGAGAGAGAGAGCCACTTTCCTAAGTGAACTACTTACACACATTCTTTTTCCAGAATTCACTTGGCTTCCACTCAATCTTGTTTTACATTTATATCTAAAAATCAATACAAATTTAATCTTCTAAAATGTTATCTCTTAGTCTACAAGAAATACAATGAAAGTTTATTTTAATCACTGATAGAAGATTATTTTTTTTAACCTCATAAGAGACTTCAATATTTTTTATTTAGAAGATACTTATGGGAACATCTGAAAGGAGTCAGAAGCAAGAAACAGAATTTGCTTAGCAAGTACAATGGCTTTAGGTGGTTGGAAGTTTATTGGGAGTGGCCCACTGGGAATGGTGGAGTGTGGGAGAGTTAACTCCACAGATTTTTCTCTAACCTGGGTATAAAAAGAGGGTTGTAAGTTGGTGTCTTTAGAAGATTGCCTCCAAGATCTCCTACAGATACCAAAATCTGTACATGTTGAAAACTCACCTTGATCGGTGCATATAGTGGATGGAGATTATTTTTACTTTCAATCATCTCTAGATTGCTTTTAACAACTATAGCACAAGTGCAACAGAAATGATTTTTATATGTGTAAGGATTTTTGTCTACAGGTATGTCTGAGCTCAGACTGCTCATACATTGCCCATGGGGGTAGTGACCATGGAGGCCAGAAGAGGCACTGGATCCCCAGGGAATGTAGTTACACTTGTTGTAAACCAGCACATGGGTTGAGAACTGAACCCAAGTCCTAAACAAAAGCAGCAAGTGAACAGTCTTAACTACTAAGCCATGTCTCAAGCCTGAAATGGTCTTTATATTGTATTATTTAGGAAATAATGAAAAAACAAAACAAACAAAAACCTGTGCATGATTAGTTGAGATGCAATTACCATTTAACATTTTAGCCTGTGATTGGTGAAATCCACACCAATCCTGCCAATACAAAGGTTATTGTCATCACAACATCATTAGCAAGGACAAGCCATGTTCTAATGGGAAATGAATTTGAATGGACATCATTGCAGCCCCTGTAACTCTAGTGGTCTTCAAGAAATAACTATGGAGACACAGCTGGATCTCAGCCTACAAACATAAGCAAAGACAAACAAGTCCCTGACTTCACAGATACCACAATAGACAGGGAACAATGGGTAGAAAAATGGGTCGTAGAGGAATACAGCTATGATGGAAAATGTAAACCTAGCAGACACTCAGAGACACCAAACACAGATGCAAACAAGGATGAATTCCTAGAAGAAGAATAGTTGGCTAGAAAAGAGGAGAAGGAAGCACATCATATAAGAGGGAAGAGGTACCTCAAAAGCAATGTGACAAGACCCAACAGCAGAAGCTCAGGGGGTTTGGAGCAGAAAGAAGAAGGGCTATATTGTCTATAAGGGCTAGCACAGTGACTGAAGCTGGTCAAAAGTGTTAGGATGTCCTGCTTTAGAGGAATGGCATCTCACAAATACTGTTGCAACCATTGTATGGCGTCTCTACTGGAAGGAAGCCAATAGTCATCTGCATGTGATGGTGGATTGAATGGGAGCTGGCAAAGCAGTCGTGGAAGGATTTGGTAGTAAAAACATCTAAGATCAAAGTAATTGAGTAGATATGAGGAGACAATGAAGTTTGCCTTCTCCCAGAAGAACTGAATAGCTTGTGTTTTCCATCAGGCAAAAAGGAATTCAGAATGGGAGCCACTAGGGAGAAGCTGAGAGAAACTTGAGTAAAAATCTCAACCAGCCAGTCTCCAGTCTCTATGGCAGAATAAATCACCTGGAGGCGGGCTTTTGCTTTGATACACTGCTCTGTCAACTCTGAAACCTTTACTTTAAATTGGGCTTGTGAAGGAGCAGAAGTGAATTTAGGGGCCCTGTCTAAAATCACCCACCAAATCACTGCCCTGACACACACAGTGGCGCTGGCAAATGCACTTTCCTGAAAGACTAAAGCCTCAGTGTAGTACAGCCCTGACTGGTTTATCAACAAAAAACAATGTTGTTCTCCTGCTGGGGAGATCCAGTCACAGCAGGAACCCCCCAGAGTTAACAGCTACCTCAGCTGTGGTTGTGAATTACAACCACCTTTTGAGCATACTTGCCTTGGTGGTTTTGACTTTATTACCACTGCTACAGGACCAACCCGAGGAGTCTGGAAGCACTTTACAGTCCTCTCCTTCCAAGCAAGGATCCATGTGGCACCACCACTTCTCAATCACAATGGAAGCTGGAAAACAAAGGTTGCATTGTGTTTGAGACATGCTTTCTTCCTCCCCGTGTGGGTGGCAAAGCTTAATACAAATTAGCAGACTGACACAAACTTGACTGACAGGAATGATTGCATAAGTGTATGTAAAGAATCTAGTGGGGATGGGGGGTAGGAGAGATGACTCAGGAGTTACGAATATTAGCTGCTCTTCCAGAGGTCCTGAGTTCAATTCCCAGCAATCACATGGTGCCTCACAACCATCTGTAATGGGGTCTGATGCCCTCTTCTGGCACTCAGGTGTACATGAAGGTAAAACACTAGTGTGTGTGTGTGTAAAATAAAAATTATTATTTTTTTAAGAACCTAGTAGTCCCTCCACATCTCCACATACTCTGGAAAATGCATTTTTGGAGTTGTCTACCAGATTTTAATAGAGTTGATAAGAGCTGATGCTTTATGGGGTCCCTGCCCTGATCTGAGTCTCACCATGTTGCTTTCTCAGTTGTTTTAAAGACCTCGGGTTTGTCATCTAATTCCTCTTACCATCAGTTTCTCCAAAGAGACAGAGATTGAAACACTTGCCCAGAAACACAAAAGGATACAATGGGTTCAGGAGAAAAAAACTTTGGCCCAGGTTTTTGTTCCAGGAAATGCTAGATACTGTGATGGCCATCCTCTTTGGCTGCAAGCTCCAGTGGCAGATGCTGATGTCACAGTGTTCGTCTTGGCTATGAACAAAGAGCATCTACACTAAAAGTTAAACCTACTTTCTCGTATGTTGATATCTCTGTAGGCCATTGCAGTGAACAGCTGAATGGTGAGGCACAATTTGTCATATAGTGAAAGCTAACTGAAGGTGACAGGACTCAGCCTTGCCTCATAGCCCACATGTGATTATCCTGGAATGTTTAGTTCACCTGTGAGTCACTATACCCCATTCCTCAGTATCCATGAACATACAGAAGTCTGCTGATAAGATTGTGTCATGTTCATGAAGCAAAAACACAGCACAGTAGATCTCTGGAACTGAACACAGACAGAAGGAAAGAATCTCCACCATAGGGAATGGTTAGTCCCACAGGTTCACAGGGTAACTGGATTGTAAGGGTGAATTCACCCTATGAGTTAATTACAGAACTGAGCTGGGGCTGGGATGGTGGTGAGTCAAGAAAAACTGGCTCTGTTTTCTTGTTGAAACAACATAGGAACCATCCCCAAGTAGGTGCTGCAGTTCCCCCCTCCTTGGATAATAAATAATTGTATTCCGTGTTTTCTGAGCTACAGAAATGTATGTCCCATAGGTTACTTTGGTGTTTTAAAATGGAGACTTTAATAAATTGTATCAGGGTAAACACAACAATTTGCTATGTGTGTACAGTACAATGTGTGATGACTTCCAGAGTCGAGTGAGTTAACTCATCTGTAGTCATTCGTCACCATTAGATTCCTGAAACCTGTGTACCTTGTAGCTAAAGACCTGCACTCTTTCGACAACAGCACCATCCTACCAAGCCATTCAGCTCTAGAATCCACAACTCTTCTCTGGACTACCAGGAATTCTAAGTTTTGAAAATCGTGTACACATGAGATCAAGGAGTCCTTTGGCCCATTGATTCCTAGCTTATTCTATTAGCATAACATAAAGCCCTCTTGTTTCATGCGTATTTTCAGACACCAGGATTTCTTGGTATGAACAAATACCAGTCTAGCCCGTATTTTCTTACTCTCTCCATCAGTGAAGTTACTAGGTTGTTTCCAGTTCCCAACTACTTCAGTGAAAATGGCGGGGTGGGTGGAGGTGCAGATGCCTTAGAGATAGTGAACTTGAAGATGGGAATGTGGCTCACAATGTATGCTTATCATGTGCAACACTCTGGGCTGGGTCCCCAGCACCACACACGGAGGAAGGGCCAATTTGATGTCCTGTGAATTATACCTAGGAGGATTACTGTATATGTAAACATTTTCTGAGGAGCTTTGATATCGCTTTCCATGATGCCTGTGCCAATTCTCTTTCCTGCCAACGATACATGAGAGTTCCCCTTGACTACATCTCCACATCCCCTTGTGGTTTAGATAACAGTCATTCTAATAAGTGTAAATTACTACAGTGAGGTAGAACACTGTTTCAGGTGTCTGTTTGATAACTGTCTTCTCCGTGAAAAGCAGCTATTCAAGACTTTTGTTAATTTTTAATGAGGTTTTGGTTTGAGGATACTGTGGGAAAAGTGGACCATGTCACCAGACAGAAGAACTAGTATGGTTGCATAAGCTCAAATCCCGTGAATCATGAATCTCAGAATTGTGAATGGTAGAAGTGGCTCAACTCCCTGCCCACCTCTATCTGCTCACCTAGGCAACCATGGCACCCCACTGAGAGGACCATGACAATCAGTCCCATAGGGAAAACACCTGGAGTCCTTCTCCAAGCTAATAGAGCATCACTGGCATCTCAAACTGAGCCAATATAAAACATCTACCCCTAAACCTCACACTACTTCTCAATGTTTATAAAGTCCCTGTCCACATGGAATAGAGTGTACCAGGAATCATCTAAGAGTGTTTGTTTTACTGAGCTGTAGCCCTTGGGGAAGAGTTCTTTCTTCCAAAGCTTTCATCACTGGACCTGAGATTGGTCTGACTGGTCAGGCTCCATGCCACAGCCACAGCCTACCACCTGCCTCCCACTGCCACCTGTGCCACTGCCACCTGTGCCACTGGCACTGGCATTCCCATGACCCAGAACCCTGCCTGACTGCCTGCCTCGAGAACCTCACCGCTTTCCTTCCCAAGACTCATGGAACCTATTTGTTCTGGCTTCACAAAGGACAGACAACTAGATACTAAGTTCTTCAAACCCCTATGTATTATATCTGAATCCCTGACAGAAGTCTGGTTTGTGGAGCTGGAGAGATGGCTCAGCAGTTAAAAGGATATACTCTTTCAGAGGACTACTCTTCAGTTCTCATTACCCTTTACTCATATACCACCTGTAACTGCAATTGCAAGACATTGATGCCTGCTTCTAGACTCCGTGGGCACTTGTGTGCATTCAAGTGCATGTGTGCAAACACATACACACACACACACACACAAAGAGAGAGAGGGAAAGCAAGAGAGAGAGAGGGAGGGAGAGGGAAAGAGAAAGAGGGAAAGAGGGAGAGGAAGAGGGAGAGAGATCTTTACAAACAGAAGTGTGGTCTGCAAATAAGTTCTCACACTCTCTGGGCTGCCCTTTCTTTCCGTTCATGGCTGCCTTTGAAGAGCCTTTGGTTAGCCGCACATTCACTAGTTTGGATTTGCTTTTGTTGCCTGTGTTTTGGTTTCATAACTAAAACTCCTTCACCAGTGTCAAGGTTTTGTTTCCTGAATTCAGTTCTCAGTTTTGTAGTTCCTGGTGTCACAGTAGTCTGTGGTGTGTTCTGACATATCCTTGTGTATGTTGTGAGGCAGTCTCTGATTTATCCTTGTGTATGGTATGAGGCAGTCTTTGGCTTTGCAGCTCTCCACTCTTTTAAGTATCACTACTGAGGCAGAGTGCCTTGATCACACCAGTGTAAGTTTGTTGCTAGGCTCTCTGTCTTGTTTCAGTTTTCTGTGTGTCTACTTTTTTGGCACGCCTATACTGTTCTGTGGTTACTATGGCTCTGAAATGTCCATGGATCAGGAAGTGTGACATCTCTGAGTCTTTCCTTCTTACTATAAACTTTACATATATTTGAGTTTTTTGTGACTTCACATAAAATCTAGGAATTTTTTTTCCATTTCTGTTAAAATGCCACTTGGGTTTTTGACAGGAATCTGCAGGTCATTTTGGGCATTTGGCAATACAATTCACTTCTATGCTGTAAAATGTCCTTCCATGATATCAGATAGCTTTTAGTATGCTGATTTTTTTTTTACCTCATTGGTTAACTCCCTTAAAGGAGTAAAGGAGAGTACAAGTTAACAGGTAGAGGCCCTTAAAGAGGAAACACAGAAATTCCTTAAAGAACTGCAAGAAAACACAATGAAGGAATTAAACAAAACTATTCAGGATCTGAAAATGGAAAGAGAAACAATAAAGAAATCTCAAAGGGAGATAACCCAGGAGATAGAAAGCCCAGGAAAGAGATCAGGAATCATAGACGCAAGCATCACCAACCGAATACAAGAGATAGAAGAGAGAATCTCATGTGCAGAAGATACCATGGAAAACATTGACACAACTGTCAAAGAAAATACAAAATGCAAAAAGCTCCTAACCCAAAACATCCAGGAAATCCAGGACACAATGAGAAGACCAAACATAAGGATAATAGGTATAGATGAGAGTGAAGATTCCCAACTTAAAGAACCAGTAAATATCTTCAACAAAATTATTGAGGAAAACTTCCCTAACCTAAAGAACAAGATGCCCATAAACATACAAGAAGCCTACAGAACACCAAATAGACTAGACCAGAAAAGAAATTCCTCCTGTCACATAATAATCAAAACATCAAATGCACAAAACAAAGAAAAATACTAAAAGCAGTAAGGGAAAAAGGTCAAGTAACATATAAAGGCAGACCTATAAGAATTACACCAGACTTCTCACCAGAGACTGTAAAAGCCAGAAGAGCCTGGACTGACATCATACAGACCCTAAGAGAACACAATTGCCAGCCCAGATTACTATACCCAGCAAAACTCTCAATCACTATAGATGGTGAAACCAAGATATTCCATGACAAAACCAAATTTGCACAATATCTTCCCACAAACCCAGCACTTCAAAGGATAATTGATGGAAAACGCCAACACAAGGAGGGAAACTACAACCTAGAAAAAGCAAGGAATTAATCTTCCAACAACCCCAAAAGAAGATAACTATACAAACATAATTCTACCTCTAATAACAAAAATAACAGGAAGCCACAATCATTTTTCCTTAATATCTCTTAACATCAATGGTCTCAATTCCCCCAATAAAAAGACACAGACTATCAGACTGGATACACAAACAAGACCCAGAATTTTGCTGCATACAAGAAATG